ATTTTCAAAATACTTTTTAGAGCCATGGTAGACCTTGTACACCTTCAATTTCAGAACCTCATTTTACCAATGAAGAATGGGGCCCAGAACAATAAAACAGTTCACGTCTCTGCAACCAGTCCGCTCTTTTATACTGAATAAGTTGTAGAAGGCCATCCCAAGCAATAACTCAGCAACCTAAATGTCATCTCTCCCGGTCAGAGTAGTTTCTCCCTATGATTTCTCTCTTTATGCTCGTTCACTCATCACTCCACACAGAACATTAACTCTGATAATTCAGCTTTTACTGCTCATATAACCATAACATTTCTCATCTGAATCAGGGCATCTGTGTGAGTGCATGGGGGCACTATTGATAATTACCTTGGGTCAACAGGTGTAAACCAGGACTTGTCCTGAGCAAGCCAGGATGTATGGTCACATTACCAGTACATAAAATTCTTCATGAAATCCACCTGTACAGGTGTTCTGTCAATAATGAATTGTATCTCCTTCTCGAGTGGGCTTTGAGAAATCACGGCCTTTTAGGGAAGTGAGCATCCCTCTTCCCCTGTACCATTACAGCTCACATTAGTGTAACTATAGAACTCAGGCATTGTCAGTCCCCCTGTGTGCCATATTTACCTGACAGACACAACCAGATATTATTTTTTTATAAAGAAAGTCACCTCTATTTAAGACACATATTATATATATATAAATAAAGTTAGAGCCAGTCATTCACTAACTCTCATATCCTGAAGAGGTAGCAAAAGGCTCTGTGGTTGACTACTCCTTATTTCTTGAAAACACAGACAATTCACACACATGCACACACACACACACACACACACACACACACACATACGCACATGCACACATACACACAGCTTCTTAACATTTTTCATCAACAAAAGAGCTGAAAACTAGGATCATGAGGAAGATGAATTTCCTTGTCTGATCAAAAGTGAGGTCGCAAATGCCAGGCAACCATGGTGTTTCACAATATTGCTTTGTCATTGAGTTTCTTTAAGGATCCAGGGCAGAATGCAATTAAATAGGGTTTCCTGAGTTGGTGTCAAATTATGCAGTCAAGGTCTGTTTGGACCCCTATCTTTTGAGGAGTTTATGGGCGCCAGAATTTAATCTTTATTCAACATTGTTGACCTTATCCCACTCCAATGGGCTGACTTATCTTTCCTGAGGTTGTTTTACATATATATAGAGCTGCTTATAGAATTAACAGATTATAACATTAGCTATGTGTAGTGTATAAAGAACATTTCCACTTTCCCTTTTTGTCACCTCACATTTTATCACCCTCAGAAAGGGGGGCAGCCACTGATGATATTATCTCAGGCAGGCCCTGGGCCATTAAAAAAGCAAAGTCGGGTTCCTTTTGTTTTTCCTGATTTTCCACTAACATCTTGCTTTAACCAAACACATACTGGTGATAATGATGGTAATGATGATGATGATGATGATGGAGGAAGAGGGGAAGGTGAAGGAGTAGGAGAAGATGAAGAAGATGTGCAAAAGGGGAGGAGGAGGAAGAGGGGGAGGAGGAGGAGGAGGAGGAGGAGGAGGAGGAGGAGAGGGAGGAGGGGGAGGAGGAGGAGGAGCAAGAAGAGGAAGGGAAAAAATGAGAAAAGAGGAAGAAGAATAGCATAATTTCCTTTCAATACTCTGAGGTTTTGAGAAGTTTTTCATTAGTGGCTAAAAACATATGAGTACACAACTATTAGTGCATTTTATTTCCATTATTCCTGGAAAAGCAGTGGTATTTTCAAATGTCCAGTTTTTCTTTACTAATTGAGAAGTATATATCAAGTCCTGCATTTGTGTATGGGGCTTGCTACATTTCCCATCTTATATTGAGCTCTTAGGCCTCACCACTATGCAACAATATTTAAATTCTAAAGGCTGCCTTCCCCAAAATACAGCATAATCCAATGCAATTACAATAAATTAAATAGCCCAATGGAAATATTTATTTTAACATTTGGCCAGGGAAAAATCTAAAATACTGTTTAAAGAAGAGAGCATAAGCTAGTTATTATTCATGAGTGACTATTCAATAAAATGAACCAGAAAAAAAAATGTTTAAAGGTTAAATTGAAATCCAAGCTGAATATGGGTCAGCAAGATAGAGTTCTTTCCTTGAAGAGAATAGATCTTTCTTTTAATAACTATTATTTTAGTATGTCCCCAAACCATACTCTAAAAATATATTATGCTATGCATGCCAAGCATACTGCTCTCAATGAACTTTCAAAGAAAGGGAATAAAATAAGCACCAATAATATGCAGTGCACACCAATCAGTGCCACCCTACAACCTTACCTTGTATGATTCTTGTGAATATTTAATGACAGCCTATTTGCACAACTTTAGAACTCTCTGACACATAGTAGTAAGCACTATATAATTGTTAAGTCAACAACAGTTCATATAATATGTGGTATTAGATAGCAGAAACAGACATCACATATAAAAATTGTACATAAATAACAAATGGTTAATATCTAGGGAATTTTCATAAAGAAGGAGACACAGAATGGATGTAAAAATTGAAAACAGAACTTATTAAAGTTGCTAAAGCAAAATGAAACACAAATCAAGTTGGGCACAAATCTGAGATAAATTCATAAACCAGTGAATAGACACAGGTGCTGAGTATAGGAATGGAAGATTGGACTTGAATAATGAATTAGGCAGTAATTGGGGGCAGAAAATGCTTTTGTAACATTTTTTAATATTCCAATATTTGGTCATATGGAAAAGGAGAGAAATCCTTTTTGAAGTAATAAACCTTATCAGAGAGTCCAATGTGTAGCTATGTAATAGTCACAAAGAACTATCCTACACAGCTTTAGCAGTGATTACTATCGCTGCTATGCTGTTCTTATAGCATAGATTCCTTATAAGGTAATAAATATTTGGCTTTGATGTAGCTTTTTACATTCAAGTTGGCACATTTAGTCTTAAAGCTGTGGTTGATTACATACTTGGCAATCTGTCTAGCCATTAATTGCTTAGAATCATTTCCTTTCTGCCCTTTTGCCCAAAACAAGTTTATGAAGAAATATCTGGTGAAAAATAAAGGGTCAACTCCTATTTTCATCCCTGAGAGCTGAAGTTTTTTCTCTATGATCTATCTCCACCTCAGACTTCCCCTAGTGGCACATTGGGATAAAATAGAGGGCAGTGCCCATCACTTCCATTCCGTAGCCCCAGCATCATATAGTAAATCCATATGAACAACAGTTTAGATTGGCTTAATTGCATTCGGTTGGGTTGGGTTGAATGGGCTCAGATCAAAAGTAAAGCATGTACCCCTTTCTCACACTAACAGAAAGTAAAAAGTTTTAAATAAACCCTGCTTAAAAATAGCTCATCATATGTAGTTGAGAAACATTTTTGTACAGATTTAGAGACACAGAAAGCTTTCTTGTACAAGAAATATATGAGACTTTCAGTGCAATGAGTTCATCTTAAGAGACAGAGAAAAAATACCTACCTTATCATAGATCAAGTTGATGTAACACTTAGATGAGCACATTTATATACTCACATCATAGAAAGAGATGCTTGCAGAGTGAATAATATGCCACATTTAGTTGTTAGGCAACTACTTCTATCCCCCAGCAAAGTGTTACTAAAAGAAAAGTCTTCTAACAAGAGATGTGCTGCAAACTCCTCATTTTTATTTTTATTTTTATTAAATATATTTTATTGATTTTTTTACAGAGAGGAAGAGAGAGGGACAGAGAGTTAGAAACATTGATGAGAGAGAATCATCTATCAGCTGCCTCTTACACACCCCCTACTGGGGATGTGCCCGCAACCAAGATACATGCCCTTGACCGGAATCAAACCTGGGACCTTTCAGTTTGTAGGCTGAAGCTCTATCCACTGAGCAAAACTGGTTTTGGCTAAACTCCTCATTTTTAAACCAATGCTATTTAAATCCACACATGTTGAACAAATCAAAATTCTAATAGTTTCTTGAACAGCAGCTTATAGATGTGTCACTAACACAATGAAAAATTAATTCAGAAGTAAGAAAATAACTTTTATATTTTTTCAGTCCCCTTAATCTCTCATACAATGATTGGGAAAGTCTTCTCGCTGGAAATCGCATTTGACCCAATATATCTGAAAATGAAATAGAACCATGTTATTTGTGTCTGAAGAAAGTTTCTAAGAAAGAGTCAGACATGCAATTAACACAGTGTGTCTAGACTCCGCATGGTTATGCTCTTCACTCACTTTTATTGACAAACCTATTCCTTACGAGCTGGCTGATACCCAGAAAAAAGTCTGTGTTCTGTATTTAGAGTGATTTTCCTTTTGCTTTTTCCTGTCTATCTTGGTGGATGTAGCTTAGAAGTATTCTCTGGAGCTATTGCAATAAGTCATAAGTGAGGGAAATGTTTTATTCTAGACTTATTAGACCTTGGAGACTATGAAGATCCGAGGATTATTTTTTTCAGATGTTAAATAGACTAAGCCAGACATAAAAGGGTAAATACAGAATGATTTGACTTGTGTCAAGCTCAAAAACAGGCAAGGCTGTTCTGTGGCACTATCTGTCAGGATAGCAGTTATTTACCCCAGACCTCTGGGATGCTGGTCGATGGGGTTGTTCCTGGATGCGGATGTGGTGATATGAGTGGGCTCAGCCTGTGAATATTTATTAGCTATTCATTTATCCTCTGGGTAGATGCTAGATCTCCATAAAAATTCCAGAATAAAATTAATACAATAACAGACATGAAAAGCAATTAGATTTCCTTTGTCTAAACCCAATAGTATATTTGTCACAGATCGCTATATGTGTGTTGTCCCAAATCATAAAACTGCGTACCAGCAGAACTAGTATTTTGGATTCTCTGCTTCTGTCTTGTGATTTTTCCCCCCAATCACAACTGGGTCACACTGAAAGTCCATGGCACAGCCTGCTGCCAGAAGGCTGCCAACCTTCCTCTCTGAATTAATGCTATTTGCCATGTTAACAGGCGAGTTGTGTGAGGAGAAGCTGGACTTCTGTGCCCAGGACCTGAACCCCTGCCAGCACGACTCCAAGTGCATCCTGACGCCAAAGGGAGTCAAGTAAGTTGGGGACTGCCCCAGTGCTCCCCGCTGCGGGGGAAGGGGCTCTGCTGGGAGTTGCTCTTCTCCACCTGCCCTCAGGATCTGGCTTCACACCTGTGCTCAGTATGAAAGGGACATACTGTCTGGGGTCCAAACATTTGTATAAATGTTCGTAAACAGCGTGGACTATGCTTTAGTACACTGGAAAATAAAATAGAAGAGAGTTTCCTTTTTATCCACGACTCTTCCTAGGAAGGTATACAAGAAGTAAAATAGCCTTTGACTACATTTACAAAAATGTAGTCAAAGGCTGAATCAATTTGGAATATCTGGTAGATGCTTTATTATTTGAATGTTTAATTTGATGTAACGGAAAATGTTTTGATCTGCCACAATGTTTTAACTCTCCAAGATGAGGAAGAGAGAGGGATCCTGTGTCCCAGGTTGTCCCGGGACAGTCCCAGTTTATGCCTGTTGTCTCAGCATAGTCTTTGATAGGACCCCCCTTCACCTTACTTACATCTTGTGGGGGATGGTAAAGCATGCAGCTGCTCTGAGTAGAGAGCTCCCTCCCCTGAACTCAGAACTTCAAAATCATTTTTATGTTCTCCGCAGCCATCTTCCTAAAATAGGTTTGCTATCAAGTTAAATTGTGCCTTTGCCACAATCCTGAAATATCTTAAGGGTCTATCCACAGCAACTTCTCTTCTTAGAGACCATAGTAGTTTAGAGACCATCTTGCCCAAATGCTTCCTTTTAAACATGAGGAAACCAGGCCCAGAAAGGTCATTGGCTATCCAGGTATCAAGGTTATTCATTGACGGAGCTGGAGCTCAGATATATACTGAGTGGCCACATTATTATGATCTCTGAACGCATAATAATCTGGCCACTCAGTGTATAGATTAGAGGCCTGGTGCATGAATTCGTGCATGGGTGGGGTCTGTCCAGCCTGGCCAGGAGGAGGCGACATGGACAATTGGTTGGCCAGCCTGCCTGCTTGTCAAACTTCTAGTTGAGCAGACAATTTGCATATTTGCCTTTATTATATAAGATATACACTGAGTGGCCAGATTATTATGGGTTCAGAGATCATAATAACCTGGTCACTTAGTGTATACTTCCCAGTTGGGTAATTCTTCTAACACAGGTGACCTCTAAAGAGTTTTGTAGTTTCTTAACATAGCAGTTAGTTTATTATGGAAAGTAAGCCTGACTCTCAGGAATGACCCACTCGGGTTTAGGGTTATAAATTAGTTACACTCCCAACATCTTTGATCTGCCCACAGTTGAACTTGGCAAGTTCATAACAAATATTATCATTTCTCAGATAAATTCATCAGCAAAGAAGGTGGTTTTTCACAACAGTTTATCTGCTAAATAGGTTTCATAGGACTTTGCACATTATAATTATAAGATAAAATATTAGTAAGACTAGTGGAAATCATTACAAAATAAGAAAGTTCATTTTCAAAAAGAGGAATCTTTAATTCAATCTTCTATTATCACCAATTAGATTGCACACTCTTTTTTTCAGTAACAGTCGATGTTCAGTATTATTCTATATTAGTTTCAGGTGTGCAGCATAGTGGTTAGACATTTATATAATTTGCAAAGTGCTTCCCTAATAAGGCTAGTGCCCTCCAGGAATCATATAGAATTACTAAAGGCCCAATGCATGAAATTAGTGCAAGTGTAGGCCTTCCTCTTCCCATCTGCCAGTACCAGCTTCCCTCCAGCACCCAGGACCCAGTCTTCCCTCACAGCCCTGGCTTCGTCTGGAAGGTCATCCAGAAGGACGTCCAGTCTAAGTAGCATATTATGCTTTTATTATTATAGATTACAATAAATAACCAGAAGTGGGATTGCTGGGTCATAAGGTAGTTCTGTTTTTAATTTTTGAGGTTGCACACTCTCTTTTTTAGCTGTATTTATTGATTTCAGACAGAAGAAGGGAGAGGAAAGAGAGCTAGAAATATCAATGATGAAGGAGAATCATCAATCGGCTACCCTCTACTGGGGATCAACCCGCTAACCCCAGAATATACCATGACTGGGAATTGAACCAGTAACCTTTTGGTTCATGGGTCAACACTCAACCATTTAGCTATACAGGCCCCTTGAGGTGCACACACTTAAAAGTGCATCTTATTGGATTATGGGTTCACTGATTTGGGAACCTGTGGTTTTCACAGTCATTTGTGAGCTTGTTTTACAGCTAGATTAGCTTAGCAGGCAGTAGGTGAAGTCATAGTATGTGCCATTACTCCCATATTATAAAAAATTGCACATTGTGGGAATGGGAGGTGCAAAAAGAAAATTGACTTAAAAACCAAAACTACTTGGATGCTGCTAAAGAAAAATCTCTACTGACAAATGTTGTTTGAACAACTTGTACTGTTACTTCATTTTTTTATTACTAAGCTGAGAGAGCTGGTTTTACTTCTCTTGCTTCATTATATACCTCATAAATCTCCCAAATTGCTTTGAGATATTTTTAGACCGTGATATGCCATAAGCAGTATTTTCAAGCATGCATCTTACTTAGTCAGCGTTTGGGCTTCCAAACAGTATATTTTATAGTCTTTGCTTTCTCCCTCACTCCTGGCCAGATAATGGAATTGAGGGAATATGATAGATTTTATTGATAATACAACTTTAAGGAATTCCTAATTAAATATTTTCTCCCTGTTTTAAAGGTAGATCTGAGAAGCAAAAAGAAGACGAAAAAAAAAAGTTAGTTATAATGTGACTCCAAGTTCTAAGGGGCTTGAGAAATGGGATTTGTAGAGAAGAGAATATAAAATAGCTCTTAGCCACTATGGTGAATGTATGGCTCTCTTATCTTTTACTTTGATTTCTTTTCTCAAATAAATAATTCAGCGTGTTTCAGAGCACTTCTTTCTTTCAACACTCAGCCCTTTAGCTCTGTTCACATTAACATGGATGGAGGCTCTTCTCTTGGTGCTGCCCATCTATTTCAGAGTGTCTACAGCCACTTTGGGTCCATGCCGCTTCAGACTTGTTTACTCTGCATTGCTATGATTTAGCACTGAAACCACTGGCCCTAGGGCATGCATGCTTATGCAGTGAGCTCCTTTTATGTCTTAATTCACACAGGCGAAGCTGAAAGTCTGTGCGCTAGCCCATTTATTTTAATTCATCAGTTACCCAGTAGCTCTGAAATCCCAGTGTTGCATTTGCAGACAAATCCCCTGGCATTCAGGAATGTCCACATTCACTTGGGTGTTTTTAATTATGCTCATTCACTTAAACCCTAATGGCTTTAAAATAGAAAAGTGGGTAATTGCTACAGCATAATCATAAAGGCTTTATGGAATTATAAAGACTTAATGAAATTGTTTAAAAATATAACTACCATTTATTGATCATGCTTTATATATCAAACACTATGCTAATTATTTTATAGATAGTAGTTTTATTAAACCTTTTAACAAACCTATGAGATGGAAATGGTTTTATTCTATGTATGGTGCGGATGAGGAAATGAACATTTAGATTAGATAACTTAGTGAAGATGACATACACTTAAGAATAAAGCCAGGCTGAAACCGCTTTGGCTTAGTGGATAGATCATCAGCCTGTGGACTGAAAGGTCCCAGGTTCCATTCTGGTCAAAGGCATGTACCTTGGTTACAGGCACATCTCCAGTAGGGGGTGTGCAAGATGCAGCTGATTGATGACTGTCTCTCATCGATGTTTCTAACTCTCTAACCCTCTCCCTTCCTCTCTGTAAAAAATCAATAAAAATATATTTTTTTAAAAAAGAATAAAGCCATGATATAAACCCAGTTGTAACAGCCAAGTCCAAATTCTGTAAAGATAGTTTCCTGGTTTATTTGGGGTTTTTTTTTTTGGTTTTTTTTTTAATATATTTTATTGATTTTATACAGAGAGGAAGGGAGAGAGATAGAGAGTTAGAAACATCGATGAGAGAGAGTCATTGATCAGCTGCCTCTTGCACACCCCCTACTGGGGATATGCCCGCAACCAAGGTACATGCCCTTGACCGGAATCGAACCCGGGACCCTTCAGTCCCCAAGCCAATGCTCTATCCATTGAGCCAAACCGGTCCCGGCAAGGTTTATTTGTTTTTTTAAGAAGTCAGCAAACCTTTTCTTCTTATTTATTAACTAGAGGCCTAGTGCATGAATTTTGTGCACTCGAGGAGAGGGATCCTCAGCACAGTCTGTGCCCTCTTGCAGTCTGGGAGCCAGCAGAGGATGTCTGACTGATGGCTTAGGCCCACTCCCTATGAAGCTTAGGGCTTCTGGCATGGAGTGCCTGCCCCTTGGTAGTCAGTGCACATCATAATGACTGGTCGTTCCGCTGTTTGGTCAATTTGCATATTAGCCTTTTATTATATAGGATTTTAGAGAGAGAAAGAGAAAGGAAGAGGAGGAGAGAGAAACATTGAAGTGAAAAAGAAACATTGATAGAAACATCCATAGCAGGAGCAAGCTGAAAAGTTGTACAAGAGACTGACCTCCTACATACACCTTGACTGGGGATTGAACCCGCAACCAGGGAATGTGCCCTCATCAGAAATTGAGCCAACAACCCTTTGGTGCATGAAATGATGCCCAACAACCTGAGCCACACCAGCCAGAGCCAGAGAACCCTTTCTTAAACCCAAAACAGAAATGCTCATGGAAGCCCAGTGTGTAAAACTAATAAATTGCAACAAGAGAGTGTTGGGAAGCAGATGGAGGGTGGAGGAAAGCTACCAGAAACACTGCACCCCCTGCCATGGCCATATCTATAGGGGACCATCGTCCCTTATAGCTCCACACAGCAGAGTTCAGAACCCCTGTACTGGCCACATTGTTTTCCCTCAGGCAAATCAAGACCTGGGACCTACTATCATAATAGAGACTCCAGTGGTCAGCACTGGAGAGGGACAGGTTTTACAGACAGCGCTACAGGATTAATTATCAAGCAACCTAGTGTAGTGGTTAGGAATCCAGGCTCTTGTCAGATTGCTTGGTTCTGTTTCTGGTTGTGTCCTTTAGTTCCCTCCCCTGTAGAGCAGAATAGTACCAATGTCACGGGGCTGTGGAGAGCATTCAGTGAATCCACATCAGCCAAGTGGTTAGGCAACAGAGTAAGTGCTCCAAAAACATCAGCTGTATGTTATTCCTGGTCCTTCACCATCAGAGCAGCTGAGACCCTCCTGTCCACCACCAGCAGGAACAGACTGAGAAGCTTGTGCAAGAGACTGGCCCAGGGATTCTGTGTCAGCTCCCCTGTCTCACTCCAATAGGTCAACCCCATTCTGCCATAATAATTCTCTGGATTTGTTATGGATTAGGGGACCTAGTGTTACCATATTTTTTTTCATAAAACTGCATTTTATTCTAATATATTTATTCTCTATTGTCAAGTTTTTAAATATTATTTATTTGGAAATTGCATAATATATTTTAGTAAATTTGACAACATAGGTAGCGTTTTTATCATCTCACCTCCTCCAATGAATTAGAACTGAAAATAGTGGATACTATAGGCAAATAAAGTGGGGCAAAAGGGAAGAAGGATGAGGGGAAATGAGGGGTGAGGGTGGAAGGAAAAGAGAGACAGAGGGGAAGAAAGGAGAGAGAAATAGAGAGAGCCAGAGAGAGGGAGGGACAAAGGGAAGAAGAATGTGGGAAAGCAAAAAAGATAGAGAGAAGGAACCCAATGCACTGACTCTATTCTTATTTGGATTATGGATACTCACTCTGGTCCGGAGGTAAAAATCACCATTCCCCTGACAGTTCCCAGTGAGAAAGCATGGATACTTTGCTGACCAGTACTGTGTCCTCACCTTCCTTTAATGTGGGTCTCTGTGAGCATGTCTGTGGGTCTCTGTGAAAGTACCTTTCTTAAAGCTGGTGCCATCTTTTCCTAGATGACATGCAGCTGTTTGACTTAGTTTGGCTCAGTTGGGTTTGAAACCATTTACCTGCTTGTTTAAACAGATGTGACTGCACCGCAGGCTACATTGGTGAGCACTGTGACGTGGATTTCGATGACTGCCAGGATCACAAGTGTAAAAACGGGGCCCATTGCATGGACGCAGTGAATGGCTACACATGCATCTGCCCCGATGGTTACAGGTGCGAAGAGAAGTACACTTCTGTGTGCAGTGTTGGGGCTCATGGGATTCCACTCATGTTGGCAATTCGGTAACATCTAATCAGCTTGTGTCTCTCTTTTTTCTCCAGTGGCTTGTTCTGTGAATTCTCTCCGCCCATGGTCCTCCCTCGAACCAGCCCCTGTGACAATTTCGAGTGTCAGAACGGAGCTCAGTGCATCATCAGGATAAATGAGCCCATATGTCAGTGTCTGCCTGGCTACCAGGGGGAGAAGTGTGAGAAGCTGGTTAGTGTGAATTTCGTGAACAAGGAGTCCTATCTTCAAATCCCTTCGGCCAATGTTCGGCCCCAAACGAACATCTCACTTCAGGTAAGGCTTCCTCCACCAGCAAGAGCTGATCTCATCGGAAGCCAAGCCCAGCTCTGTGGTGGTTTGGGAGTGATGCTATTTGTCACATAGACAGTTACAGACCGCAGAACACAATGACAGACAGCGCCCCTCCGTCTTCTCGCCAACATGTGGGTTTTTCTAAGCTGAGTGGGAACCGGGTATTTTCATTCTTTACTTGTTTGAGAAAAACACACACATAGTAACAAAATATATACCTCTATATATCTCTATTTTGTGCTTGGGTGAAAGCTTTTTATTCGTTTATCTTTACGACTGCACTCCGGGCTCTACACTCTGCAAAATACCCCAGGGAGTGTCTTAGAACTTTTCAACTGGAAACCTTTGAGAATAGACATGAGATTAACTAATGGATTTATTGCCAACCTTTCCACCAACTCACCATTACCTCTGAGTCAGTGATCCAGTGCCCTGTAGACAAGGTGAGCATAGATGAGAGGTGATACATGTAGGTAACAGGGGGCAGATTGGGGCTGCATGTTAGTTTTATGCAGTAAACAAAGTATTTTAATGTTTTGAGTTCAAATGGTTTTAGCCAGTTTCCTATAGGTCCCATTCTGCATTTGATTTACCTTGCAACCCATGGAGGGGCGGAGCGTTCTTTAGAGGTCATGGGGAATGGGATCCCAGAGGCAGCCAGGCCTTCTTTCTGAAAAAGCCTGGTGCCCTGGCTGCCAACATTCGCCACATTGACTCTTATGAAAAGTGCCCAGTGGTGTTTGGGCTTAGGTCCTAACTTTAACAGAACTGCTTCTTTAAAAGCCAAAAAGTAGGATCAAAAGAGAGATTTCCCTCTTTTCATGCCATCACTATAAAGAATTTGCTTCTTTATATGAAATATGAAAATCGGTCTTGCTCAGTGCAGTTGCATTTCACATATGCCATAAATACAGCCCATAACAGAAGCAAAGCAAGCAGCTGAAACTGGTTAGTCTCAGTGGGTAGAGCGTGGGCCTGTGGACTGAAGGGTCCAAGGTTCGATTCCCGTCAAGGGCATGTACCTCGGTTGTAGGCACATCCCCAGTGGGAGTTCTGCAGGAGACAGCTGATCAATGTTTCTAGCTCTCTATCCCTCTCCCTTCCTCTCTGTAAAAAAAAAATCAATAAAATATATATTTTTTTTTTAAAAAAAGCAAGTGCAAGCACAGGCAGCTGTGTTTACTTAGGTGCGTGTTATTGTTCTTTTTCAATAGGACAGAAGCACCACGATTTTTAATCCTGATTAAATTTTATCATTCTCTGCTGAGAAAATATATTTGATAGCTAAAGAGGAAAGCTTGAGTTACTTTAGCTATTGCACACTCTAATGTGCGGAAAACATTTTTCAGCTTTAATTTCCCGAAGTGTAAATTATACATGTAAATTCCTTGTTTTTGCATTTTTCATGGGACATGCATCTTTAAGCTTTGGCATTGCCCGTATGTACAGAGAGAGTAACAAGTTGTTTATGAATGTATTTTTAAAGTTCTTTAGGAATTCACTTGCAAGGAAGTAATTTAGACTAGGTCATCTTTCAAGTAATGATTTCAACATACAGTATCGTATTTTCTCATAGCCATAAGGAAAGCATAAGCCTTAGAAAAAACCCTTCTCTAAGCAGCCTTGTTTCTTTTTGATGAAATGTGTGTGGGTGACGGCCCATTCTACTAACTGGAGTGTCCTTCCCCCTAGATTGCTACCGATGAAGATAGTGGGATCCTCCTGTACAAGGGGGACAAGGACCACATCGCTGTAGAGCTCTACCGGGGACGCGTGCGCGCCAGCTATGACACTGGCTCTCACCCGGCCTCTGCCATTTACAGGTGAAGATTTCTGTTACTGGGAAAGGTGAAAACCATTGTTTCATGAAGCACTGCCTCTCTGTCGTTTTGTAATGCAGGGGGAGGGATGGGTCAGCTCCAGCAGACTCTGTGATACGTGTGTTACCCATGGCATGAGTTGGACAGTTGCAGGAAAGACTTATTACAGGACTACGGGCCTCCCCCGCTACCCGAGAATAGGACAGTCCAAAACCTTTTGTAAACCAAAATGGAGTAAAGCAGAAAAGTCATTACCTTAGAACTGTGGTCGGCAAACTGTGGCTCGCTAGCCACATGTGGCCCCATACCATGGCCTAGGCCAGTCTATTTTAAAGAAGTAGCGTTAGAAGAAGTTTAAGTTTAAAAAATTTGGCTCTCAAAAGAAATTTCAATAGTTGTATTGTTGATATTTTGCTCTGTTGATTAATGAGTTTGCTAACCACTGTCTTAGAACATACCTGGTAAAGGACACACAAAATACAAAGCGATAGAGCAGAGATGTTCTCGCAAGTAGTTCAAAGCTAGGGTGATTGGATGCTGAGATTCTGGGTATGGGTCCACTATAGTTGCTGCTCCGAATGCCTCACTGCCCCAGCCACTCCGGGCCTCTGGGCAGCCTGGGAATGCAGAAAGGCGGCTCCAGGCCAGAGCAAAGGCGGTGCAGGCAGCCAGAGGAAGGAAAGCACACTATTGCACCAATCTTTGTGCATTAGGCCTCTAGTATTAAAATATTTCTTCTAATTAATTCCCTTATAATGTGCACAAATTTGGTGCATGAGGCCACTAGACTATATCATAAATGGCCTGTGGTCATGATGCTGTAACAGCGGAACAACCAAACAACCGGCCACCAGGAGGTGCATGGTGCACCTCTCATGGGCTGGGACTTGTGGCTCACTTGACAAGGCAAGGCTCACTCAAGGCTGGCATGGCAGAGGCAGGGCCCACAGCTTGTGCAGAGCAGGTCTGGGATTCCATGGCTCATGCAGGATGGGTCTAGGGTCCCTCAGCTTGTGCAGGGTAGGTCTGGGGTACTGCCTATGCAATGGGTCTGGGTCTCATGCAATTTCACATGCTGGGCCTCTAGTTTCAAAATAATCTGAATCAATATTTAAAGGAGAGAAAACTTTATAGTTAAAAAAAAACTTCATATTTCTGCCTTTAGCTGGAAAAGCTGGAGTTGTAGCACACATGGCAGATTCAGGGAGAACTGTTTGGACAATGATTTGCTTTTGGTTCACCCCAGTCACAACCACTCCTATTGTATGGCCAACATCAAGGCTGTTTGTACAAAGGAATAGGTCTCTGAAATGTTATACTCTTCAAGAGAAATAAAATAGTGCCCAGAGGCATGGCTTGGTGATTAAGCATGGACCTATAAACCTGGTGGTCATGGTTCAATTCCTGGTCAGGGCATATTGTTAGGTTGCGGGTTCGATCTCCAGTAGGGGGTGTGCAGAAAGCAAGTGATCAATGATTATCTCATCATTGATATTTCTATCTTAGCATGAGGTCCCCTGGCCCGGTGCTGGGGTGAGGGGCTCGGTCTGAGGTCTCTGGGCCTGCAGCCAGGACAGACATGGCCTGAGGTCCCCTGTCAAGCCCTGATGGACGGGGTATTTAGCCTGAGCCCTCCACCCCCCGCCTGGTACTTGGGCGGGGGGGGGGGGGGGAGAAGGGGGGACAGGTGTGTGGTCTGAGGTCTCCCGGCCTGGTGCCAGGGCAGGGGGCACGGTCTGAGTGTTATCAGCCTGGAGTTGGGGTGGGGGTGGGGGCACGGCTTGAGTTCCCCCATCAAGCCCAGCCCCGCCCCAGCAGCATCATGTCAGTGCTGAATAGGAATGCACAAAAGCAGTGTCACATCACTAGCCAGGGATGCAGGCAGGCAGCTTCATCTCAGCGCTGGGCGGGAACGTACACAGGCAGCATAAAGTTAGTGCTGGGGGCAGAAGTCCCTGCCTCCATCCCAACCCACAAACTGGTTGTGACTGGGACACAATAACAGACAAATAAGCATATTACCTCTTCATATGAATAGATGCCCTTTGTGGTGAGCACATTCCATCTATAGGCCAAACAAGCTTGACAACCAATCTGTGTGCATTGATTGGGACTAAGTGGAGATACTGACCTGTATGTTGTTTGTATTATTCAAAAGCCTTCGTATCTTATTTGATTCTCCATAACAGTTCCAGGAAAGTCAATGCCAATTGCAGCCATGAATGGAATCCTTTTGGTGGTGAGCTAACCCATTTGAGAATATTTACATCATGGAAACAAACACATAATTATTGGTTTCCAAGTGAAATGAGATTGTTTCTTCATCTCCAAATGGTAATGAATTAGTGCCAACATTGAATATATTGATAGAACTTAAATCAGAAAGCCTCAATTTGATTCAGCCCATAAAAAGATTGCAGAATATTGATTTTGCAGTTCATTTTTGGACTTGATGTTTTTGTTTTATTCTATGCAGCGAAACAGTAGAATATTTTCAGAAACCGTAATAAAGGCTCTTGAGGTTAGCTTATTAAAGCTAGTTCTCACAAAAATACATATATTTACAGCATTTCTAGATAAGTTGTAAAAACTAGGATAAGTTATATCTAAATGAGGAATTACTATAAAGAGCTTATTTTGAATTTATGTTCATTACCATTTTCAGCTAACAAGCAATAGAACCTTCTTTTATTTATACTAGCATTTATGCAGCATTTATGAATACCATTAATACCATGTGACTCATCTTACAATATGAATCAGAAGTCTTGGAAAAGCATTGTTTTTAACTAATACTTGTTCTTTAATTTATGGCACAAAAATCAAGAAAAGTTATTACATTTTTTAAGGAAAAGAAAAGAAGCAACAATTATCTTAAATTCAAAGAGAGAGATCATAGTTTGACTGATTAATTGATTAATATGTATTATATGTAAACCAGAGGCTCTGTACATGAAATTCATGCATGGGTAGGGTCCCTAGACCTGACCAGCAATCAGGCCTGATCGGGGCTTTCTGGCTACCAACCCGGGCCTTCCTTCTGGCTGCTGGCTAGGGCCTTCCTTCCTCAGCTGCTGGCTGCTGGCCATGGTTCCTTCATTCTGCCCCGCCCCCTGGTGGTCAGCACATGTCATAGCAAGCGATCGAACTCTGCATATTAGCCTCTTATATACTGTATATAGATATAATTTGCATATGTCAATTTTCCAATTTGTTTTTGCATAATAGAGATCACAGGGAACAATTACATTATTTTAACACCCTAGTATTTGACAGGTAAGAATCATAGTACCTAAGAGGTGTGTTCAGATCTAGACTTGGCTAATTACTAAGATAGAAACATTGGCAAGGTACAATATTTTCTGTACCTCAAAATCCACTTTTGTAAATAATGTAACATCTTCCCTCTAAGGTTTTCTGAGTACTGAATTGTAAACTAAGCTCTGTCCTCCCACTCCATTTTCATTGTCTTCATTCTCATCTACCTTGTAGCAATACAGAAAATTTTTTCTGGTAGTTCTTTCTGGGTTGTAGCAGAGGAGTTGAAAGTGTACCCCTAATTCTTATACATTAACACTAGAAGTACAGCTTGTTTACAGTTTCTGTGGAGAGCATTTTGAGGGAAAATATCTATCAAAATTACAAGTACATTTACGCTCCGCCTATAAAATCCCACTTCTGGAAATTGTTCCTACAAATATAGCTGAAGACATAGAAATAACGTGTGTGCTGGGTAATTTGCTGTGGCATTGGCTCTAAAAACAAAGGTTAGGAAGCAACCTAGTTTCTATCTAAGTAAACTATGCCAGTACATCCACAAAATGGAATGCACTGTTAAAAAGAAAAGGTAGGAAGGGAGGGAAGGAATGAGGAGGTTCTCTACATATTACATTGAAAGGTTTCCAAGATATATTGCTCAGTTCAAATGGAATAAAAAAAAATCAGGCAGAAACAGTGTCAAACATGGGTGAATGTTTGCATTTTTATTTCCGTGTATTTGCATAGACAAAGGAGGGAAGACAGGAAACAGTTGGGTGGGAGCAAGACTTGTATGTGAATACCATGTGATATCATATGAGTTTTTGAACTATTTGACTGTCACTATTGCTCAAACTGAAAATTGAAGTAAACAAAAAGGGACAGGTGCCCTAAAGACAGTGTGACTTAATTCCAGTCCCAGCTCTGTGTCTATTACCTGTGTATCTCGAGCATATGGCTTAAGCTCTCTGGGCCTCACCTGGTAAATGGTTATAACATATCAGAGTTCTGTCTTTGTGGGACTCGTAAGGATTTTAAGATTTGATACATGTAAAATATTTAGAAAAATGCATGCCAAATAGTAAAAATGATAGCTATTGGGTTTATCATTTCGGAGTATCCAAAACTAGGTTCATTTGCATCACCCAAACCTGGGTCCCTGTCATGAGCCTAACTTCATTGAGAGGCAGCACAAATTTCTTGGACATATAGATATAGTAGAGTTACTATTAATCTTTTTTTCTCTTTCTTTTACCTTCAACTTGAAATTGGTCTCAAGTCTTAATTCTATTCCTACTAATTTCTGGCATTTATGCAAATACTTCTGACCTTGCTCAGACAACTAGGATGTGAACTGTGATGAAAGGTATTCATTCCCCATCTTTATAGCAAAACTCAGCAACAACCCTGTTGCTTAATATTTATTTTGTTGAGTTAAATTAAATTTTCAAATTTGAATGTGTTTCCACATTAGCTAACTTTAGTAAAGTACATTACCCTCCTGTTTAATAAGAGATATTTTTATGTATTCTTACCTTAGAGAATTTGTTCAGTTTAAGTTCAGTTTAATTGTGTAATTTTATGTTGTAAAAATAATGATGGTAAACTTTTCTTTAAATTATGCGTTATTTAATGTGCTGTTGGAACATCTCACAAAGGGATAATTTTGTACAACAGATGCATCTTTGCAGTTGTGTGGTTTCTTTTCAACATTGATGGAAATGGATTTTATTTTAGTAAAATGA